TGGTTTGAGGGCATCTTAGGGGTGTTGGGGGCATTTAGTATGGGTTTGGGGGCATCTTATGGGGTTTGAGGGCATCTTATGGGGGTTTGAGGGCATCTCATAGGGGTTTGAGGGCCTCATATGGGGGTTTGGGGGCATCTTATGGGAGTTTGTGTGCATATTAGGGTGTTTGAGGGCATCTTATCGGGTCTGAGGGCATCTTGTAGGGGTTTGAGGGCATCATATGGGGGTTTGGGGGCATCTTATGGGCGTTTGTATGCATATTAGGGGGTTTGAGGGCATCTTATCGGGGTTGAGGGCATCTTATGGGGTTTGAGGGCATCTTACGGGGTTTGAGGGCATCTTAAGGGGGGTTTGGGGGCATCTTAAGGGGATTTGAGGGCATCTTAAGGGGGTTTGAGGGCATCTTATGGGGGTTTGAGGGCATCTTAGGGGGGTTTGAGGGCATCTTATGGGGGTTTGAGGGCATTTTATGGGGTTTGAGGGCATCTTAGGGGGGTTTGGGGGCATCTTCTGGAGGTTTGAGGGCATCTTAGGGGGTTTTGGGGGCATCTTATGGGCGTTTGTGTGCATATTAGGAGGTTTGAGGGCATCTTATCGGGGTTGAGGGCATCTTATGGGGTTTGAGGGCATCTTAAGGGGGGTTTGGGGGCATCTTAAGGGGGTTTGAGGGCATCTTATGGGGGTTTGAGGGCATCTTATGGGGGTTTGAGGGCATCTTATGGGGGTTTGAGGGCATCTTATGGGGATTGAGGGCGTCTTAGGTGGGCTTGGGGGCATCTTATCGGGGTTTGGGGCATCTTATGGGGGTTTGAGGGTTCTTATGGGGGTGTTGAGGGCATCTTATGGGGTTTGAGGGCATCTTATGGGGTTTGGGGGCAATCTTATGGGGGTTTGGGGGCATCTTAGGGGGGTTTGAGGGCATCTTAGGGGGTTTGGAGGCATCTTATGAGCGTTTTTGTGCATATTAGGGGGTTTGAGGGCATCTTATGGAGGTTGAGGGCCATCTTATGGGGGTTTGAGGGCATCTTATGGGGGTTTGAGGGCATCTTATGGGGTTTGAGGGCATCTTAAGGGGGATTGAGGGCATCTTTTTGGGCTTGAGGGCACCTTAGGGGGGGTGAGGGCATTTTAAGTGGGTTTGAGGGCATCTTAATGGGTTTGGGGGCATCTTAGGGGGATTTGAGGGCATCTTAGGGGGCTTTGAGGGCATCTTATGGGGTTTGGGGGCATCTTAGGGGGTTTGAGTGCATCTTAGGGGGCTTTGGGGGCATCTTATGGGAGTTGGTGTGCAAAATAGGGGGTTTTGAGGGCATCTTGGAGGGGTTGAGGGCATTTTATGGGGGTTTGAGGGCATCTTATGGGGATTGAGGGCGTCTTAGGTGGGCTTGGGGGCATCTTAAGGGGGATTGAGGGCATCATATGGAGTTTAAGGGCAATTCTTAAGAGGGTTTGAGGGCATCTTAGGGGACTTTGGGGTTTCTTGGACCATTTAATAGGGGGTTTTGGGGTTGCCTTGGGGCACCCCCTTCCATGCCCCCCATTGTGTGTGTCCCACCCCATAGAAAGCCGACCTGGCCGTGGCCGCTTCACCATCACGGCGGAGCGGGAGAAGGTCATCGACTTCTCGAAGCCCTTCATGACGCTGGGGATCAGCATCCTCTACAGGGTGCACATGGTACGGGGTAGGGCCATGGGGGTCCGTAGGGGGAGAAGGGGGGAACCGCACATGGGTGCCACCATGGGGGTCTCATGCCGTGTCCCCACAGGGCCGCAAGCCGGGGTATTTCTCCTTCCTAGACCCCTTCTCGCCAGCGGTGTGGTTCTTCATGCTCCTCGCCTACCTGGCCGTGAGCTGCGTCCTCTTCTTGGCTGCCAGGTGATGCGCCCCCGTAGGGACATCCCATAATAGCACCCCAGTAGGGCATCCCGTAGTGAACCTCAGTGGGGATATCCCATAATAGTACCCCGATATAGACATCCAGTAATGCACCCCAATAGGGACATCCCATAATAGCACCACAGGAGGGGCATCCCGTAATGAACCTCAGTGGGGATATCCCATAATAGTACCCCGATATAGACATCCAGTAATGCACCCCAATAGGGACATCCCATAATAGCACCCCAGCAGGGGCATCCCATAATGAACCTCAATAGGGATATCCCATAATAGCACCCCCATATAGACATCCCATAATGCACCCGAAGAGGGGCATCCCATAATAGCACCCAGCAGGGACATCCCGTAATGAACCTCAATGGGGATATCCTATAACAGCACCCAATAGGGATATCCCATAATAGCACCCCCATATAGACATCCAATAATGCACCCCAAAAGGGACATCCCATAATAACACTCAATAGGGGCATCCCATAATGAAGCCTTATGGGGACAACCCATAATGCACCCCAGCTGGGACATCCCGTAATACACCCCAATAGGGACATCCCATAATGAAGCCTAATAGGGACATCCAATAATGCACCCTATATAGACATCCCATAATAGCACCCAATAGAGACATCCCATAATGACCCTCAATAGAGATATCCTATAATAGCACCCAATAGGGACATCCCATAATGCACCCCAAGAGGGGCATCCCATAATGAAGCCTTATAAGGACATCCCATAATGCACCCCAGCAGGGACAGCCCATAAAAGAACCTCAATAGGGACATCCCATAATGACCCTCAATTGGGATATCCCATAATAGCACTCAATAGGGACATCCCATAATAGCACCCAGTAGAGACATCCCATAATGAACCTCAATTGGGATATCCCATAATGCACCCCAATAGGGACACCCCATAATAGCACCCAATAGAGACATCCCATAATGACCCTCAATAGAGATATCCTATAATAGCACCCAATAGGGGCATCCCATAATAGCACCCAATAGGGGCATCCCATAATAGCACTCAATAGGGGCATCCTGTAATGAAGCATAACAGGGACATCCCATAATGCACCCCAATAGGGACATCCCATAATAGAACCCCAATAGGGATATCCCATAATGACCTCAATAGGGATATCCCATAATAGCACCCCAATAGGAGATCCTGGAGCACCCATTGGGGTCAACGATGGGGTTTTGGGGGTCCTGGAGCACCCATTGGGGTCAACGATGGGGTTTGGGGTCCTGGAGCACCCATTGGGGTCAACGATGGGGTTCAAGGAGCACCCATTGGGGTCAATGATGGGGTTTGGGGGTCCTGGAGCACCCATTGGGGTCAACGATGGGGTTCAAGGAGCACCCATTGGGGTCAATGATGGAGTTTGGGGGTCCTGGAGCACCCATTGGGGTCAATGATGGGGTTTGGGGGTCCTGGAGCACCCATTGGGGTCAACGATGGGGTTCAAGGAGCACCCATTGGGGTCAATGATGGGGTTTGGGGGTCCTGGAGCACCCATTGGGGTCAACGATGGGGTTCAAGGAGCACCCATTGGGGTCAATGATGGGGTTCAAGGAGCACCCATTGGGGTCAATGATGGGGTTCAAGGAGCACCCACTGGGGTCAACGATGGGGTTCAAGGAGCACCCACTGGGGTCAACGATGGGGTTCAAGGAGCACCCATTGGGGTCAATGATGGGGTTGGGGGTCCTGGAGCACCCATTGGGGTCAACGATGGGGTTCAAGGAGCACCCATTGGGGTCAATGATGGGGTTCAAGGAGCACCCATTGAGGTCAATGATGGGGTTCAAGGAGCACCCAATTTGGGGTCAATGATGGGGTTCAAGGAGCACCCATTGGGGTCAATGATGGGGTTTGGGGGTCCTGGAGCACCCATTGGGGTCAACGATGGGGTTCAAGGAGCACCCATTGGGGTCAATGATGGGGTTTGGGGGTCCTGGAGCACCCATTGGGGTCAACGATGGGGTTCAAGGAGCACCCATTGGGGTCAATGATGGGGTTTGGGGTCCTGGAGCACCCATTGGGGGTCAACGATGAGGTTCAAGGAGCACCCCATTGGGGTCAATGATGGGGTTTGGGGGTCCTGGAGCACCCATTGGGGTCAACGATGGGGTTCAAGGAGCACCCATTGGGGTCAACGATGGGGTTCAAGGAGCACACATTGGGGTCAATGATGGAGTTTGGGGGTCCTGGAGCACCCATTGGGGTCAACGATGGGGTTCAAGGAGCACCCATTGGGGTCAATGATGGAGTTTGGGGGTCCTGGAGCACCCATTGGGGTCAATGATGGGGTTTGGTGGTCCTGGAGCACCCATTGGGGTCAATGATGGGGTTCAAGGAGCACCCATTGGGGTCAATGATGGGGTTCAAGGGAGCACCCATTGGGGTCAATGATGGGGTTCAAGGGAGCACCCATTGGGGTCAATGATGGGGTTTGGGGTCCTGGAGCACCCATTGGGGTCAATGATGAGGTTCAAGGAGCACCCATTGGGGTCAATGATGGGGTTCAAGGAGCACCCATTGGGGTCAATGATGGGGTTCAAGGAGCACCCATTGGGGTCAACGATGGGTTCAAGGAGCACCCATTGGGGTCAATGATGGGGTTTGGGGGTCCTGGAGCACCCATTGGGGTCAACGATGGGGTTCAAGGAGCACCCATTGGGGTCAATGATGGGGTTTGGGGGTCCTGGAGCACCCATTGGGGTCAACGATGGGGTTCAAGGAGCACCCATTGGGGTCAATGATGGGGTTCAAGGAGCACCCATTGAGGTCAATGATGGGGTTCAAGGAGCACCCATTGGGGTCAATGATGGGGTTTGGGGGTCCTGGAGCACCCATTGGGGTCAACGATGGGGTTCAAGGAGCACCCATTGGGGTCAATGATGGGGGTTGGGGGTCCTGGAGCACCCATTGGGGTCAACGATGGGGTTCAAGGAGCACCCCATTGGGGTCAATGATGGGGTTTGGGGGTCCTGGAGCACCCATTGGGGTCAACGATGGGGTTCAAGGAGCACCCATTGGGGTCAACGATGGGGTTCAAGGAGCACCCATTTGGGGTCAATGATGGAGTTTGGGGGTCCTGGAGCACCCATTGGGGGTCAACGATGGGGTTCAAGGAGCACCCATTGGGTCAATGATGGAGTTTGGGGGTCCTGGAGCACCCATTGGGGTCAATGATGGGGTTTGGTGGTCCTGGGAGCACCCATTGGGGTCAATGATGGGGTTCAAGGAGCACCCATTGGGGTCAATGATGGGGTTCAAGGAGCACCCATTGGGGTCAATGATGGGGTTCAAGGAGCACCCATTGGGTCAATGATGGGGTTCAAGGAGCACCCATTGGGGTCAATGATGGGGTTCAAGGAGCACCCATTGGGGTCAATGATGAGGTTCAAGGAGCACCCATTGGGGTCAATGATGGGGTTCAAGGAGCACCCATTGGGGTCAATGATGGGGTTCAAGGAGCGCCCATTGGGGTCAATGATGGGGTTCAAGGAGCTCCCATTGGGGGTCAACGATGAGGTTCAAGGAGCTCCCATTGGGGTCGATGATGGGGTTCAAGGAGCACCCATTGGGGTCAATGATGAGGTTCAAGGAGCACCCATTGGGGTCAATGATGGGGTTCAAGGAGCACCCATTGGGGTCAGTGATGGGGTTCAAGGAGCACCCATTGGGGTCAATGATGGGGTTTGGGGGTCCCTGGAGCACCCATTGGGGTCAACGATGGGGTTCAAGGAGCACCCATTGGGGTCAATGATGGGGTTTGGGGGTCCTGGAGCACCCATTGGGGTCAACGATGGGGTTCAAGGAGCACCCATTGGGGTCAATGATGGGGTTTGGGGGTCCTGGAGCACCCATTGGGGTCAACGATGGGGTTCAAGGAGCACCCATTGGGGTCAATGATGGGGTTTGGGGGTCCTGGAGCACCCATTGGGGTCAACGATGGGGTTCAAGGAGCACCCATTGGGGTCAATGATGGGGTTTGGGGGTCCTGGAGCACCCATTGGGGTCAACGATGGGGTTCAAAGGAGCACCCATTGGGGTCAACGATGGGGTTCAAGGAGCACCCATTGGGGTCAATGATGGGGTTTGGGGGTCCTGGAGCACCCATTGGGGTCAACGATGGGGTTCAAGGAGCACCCATTGGGGTCAATGATGGGGTTTGGGGGTCCTGGAGCACCCATTGGGGTCAACGATGGGGTTCAAGGAGCACCCATTGGGGGTCAATGATGGAGTTTGGGGGGTCCTGGAGCACCCATTGAGGTCAACGATGGGGTTCAAGGAGCACCCATTGGGGTCAATGATGGGGGTTCAAGGAGCACCCCATTGGGGTCAATGATGGGGTTCAAGGAGCTCCCATTGGGGTCATGATGGGGTTCAAGGAGCACCCATTGGTGTCATGATGGGGTTCAAGGAGCACCCATTGGGGTCAGTGATGGGGTTCAAGGAGCACCCATTGGGGTCAACGATGGGATTTGGAGCTCCAGTGTCACCCATTGGGGTCAATGATGGGGTTTGGTGGTCCTGGAGCACCCATTGGGGTCAACGATGGGGTTTGGTGCCCCAAGGAGCACCCATTGGGGTCAACAATGGGGTTCAAGGACCTCCCATTGGGGTTTGAGGTGTCTTGGAGCACCCATTGGGGTCAACGATGGGGTTCAAGGAGCACCCATTGGGGTCAACGATGGGGTTCAAGGAGCACCCATTGGGTCAACGATGGGGTTCAAGGACCTCCCATTGAGGTCAACGATGGCGATTGGAGCACTACGGAAGCCCCCCTTACCCTCTCCATTCCCCCCCCCCCCCCACATCCCGCCCCACATCCCACCCCCCAACAGGCTGAGCCCCTACGAGTGGTACAACCCCCACCCGTGCCTACGGGAGCGCCGGAACCTTCTAGAGAACCAATACACGTTGGGCAACAGCCTCTGGTTCCCCGTCGGCGGCTTCATGCAGCAGGGCTCCGAGATCATGCCGCGCGCGTTGTCCACCCGCTGCGTCAGCGGCGTCTGGTGAGCCCCATAGCGACTATGGGGTGGGATTGGGGGGGGGGGTTGACGCATGAAATGAGCCCTCCGTGTCACCCCCCCCCCCCCCAACCCCGTCATGGTGTCGCCGTAGGTGGGCCTTCACCCTCATCATCATCTCGTCGTACACGGCCAACCTGGCGGCCTTCCTGACGGTGCAGCGCATGGAGGTGCCCATCGAGTCGGCCGATGACTTGGCCGATCAGACCAACATCGAGTATGGCACGATCCATGCCGGGTCCACCATGACCTTCTTCCAGGTGTGGGGCTCGGGGGGGAGGGGGAAGGAGGGGAGGGGGGGATTGGGGTGATCTGGGTCAATCCAACCCAACCCAACCCAGCATGGGGCAACCGGGGGCAATCCAACCCAACCCAACCCAACCTGCGTCAATCCAACCCAACATGGGGCAACCCGGGTCAATCCAACCCAACCCAACCCAACCCAACCCAACCCAACCCGGGTCAACCCAACCTGGGTCAATCCAACTGAACATGGGGCAACATGGGGCAACCCGGGGCAACCCAACCCAACCCAACATGTGGCAACCTGGGTCAACCCAACCCAACATGGGGCAACCCGGGTCAATCCAACCCAACCCAACCCAACATGGGTCACTCCAACCCAGCATGTGGCAACTGGGGTCAACCCAACCCAACCCGGGTCAATCCAACCCAACATGGGGCAACCTGGGTCAATCCAACCCAACCCAACCCAACCTGGGTCAATCCAACCCAACATGGGGCAATCGGGGTCAACCCAACCCAACATGGGGCAACCTGGGTCAATCCAACCCAACCCAACCCAACCTGGGTCAATCCAACCCAACATGGGGCAACCTGGCTCAATCCAACCCAACATGGGGCAACCTGGGTCAATCCAACCCAACCCAACCCAACCTGGGTCAATCCAACCCAACATGGGGCAATCGGGGTCAACCCAACCCAACCCAACCCAACCTGGGTCAACCCAACCCAACCTGGGTCAATCCAACCCAACATGGGGCAACCTGGGTCAATCCAACCCAACCCAACCCAACCTGGGTCAACCCAACCCAACCTGGGTCAATCCAACCCAACATGGGGCAACCTGGGTCAATCCAACCCAACCAAACCCAACCTGGGTCAACCCAACCCAACCTGGGTCAATCCAACCCAACATGGGGCAACCTGGGTCAACCCAACCCAACCCAACCCAATCTGGGGCAACCCAACCCAACCCAGCATGGGGCAACCTGGGTCAATCCAACCCAACCCAACCCAACCTGGGTCAATCCAACCCAACCCAACCCAACATGGGGCAACCTGGGTCAATCCAACCCAACCCAACCCAACATGGGGCAACCTGGGGCAATCCAACCCAACCCAACCCAACCCAACCTGGGTAAATCCAACCCAACCTGGGTCAATCCAACTCAACCCAACATGGGTCAACATGGGTCATTCCAACCCAACCCAACGTGGGGCAACCTGGGTCAATCCAACCCAACCCAACCCAACCCAACCCAACCCCGGTCAATCCAACCCAACCCGGGTCAATCCAACTCAACCCGGGTCAATCCAACCCAACCCAACATGGGTCATTCCAACCCAACCCAATGTGGGGCAACCTGGATCAATCCAACCCAACCCAACATGGGGCAACCTGGGGCAATTAAACCCAACCCAACCTGGGTCAACCCAACCCAACACGGGTCAACCCAGCTCACCCCAACCCAACATGGGTCAACCTAGCTCAACCCAACCCAACCCAACATGGATCAGCCCACCTCATCCCAACCCATCCCATCCAACCCAACATGGATCAACCTAGCACGTCCAACCCCACCCAACCTGGATCACCCCATCCCATCCAACCCATCCAACCCAACATGGATCCACCCAGCTCAACCCAACCCATCTCATCCAACCCAACATGGATCAATCCAGCTCAACTCATCCCAACCCATCCAACGCAACCTGGATCAACCCACGTCAACCCAACCCAACCCAACCCTACATGGATCAACCCAACACATCCAGCTCAACGCAACCTGGATCAATCCATCTCATCCAACCCAACTTGGATGGACTCATCTCAACCCGACCTGGATCAACCCAACACATCCAGCTCAACCCAGCTCAATCCAACCTGGACCAATCCAAACCTTCCAACTCAACCCACATCAACCCAACCTAGATCAACCCATCCAACCCAACCCATGTAACCCAACCCATCCAACCCATCCCAACCCAATCCATCCAACCCACATCAACCCAACCCAACCCAGATCAACCCAACCCATCCAACCCAACCCAACCTAGATCAACCCATCCAACCCAACCCATCCCGTCCCAACCCATCCAACCCAATCCATCCAACTCAACCCATCCAACCCATCCCAACAGAATCCATACAACCCACATCAACCCAACCCAACCCAGATCAACCCAACCCATCCAACCCAACCTAGATCAACCCATCCAACCCAATCCATCCCGTCCCAACCCATCCAACCCAACCCATCCAACTCAACCCATCCAACCCATCCTAACCCAATCCATCCAACCCACATCAACCCAACCCAACCCAACCTAGATCAATCCATTCAACCCAACCCATCCAACCCAACCCAAACTAGATCAACCCAACCCAGATCGACCCAACCCATCCAACCCAACCCAACATAGATCAAGCCATCCAACCCAAGCCATCCAACCTAACCCATCTAATCCTATCCATCCAACCAAACCCAATCCATCCAACCCAACCCAACCTAGATCAACCCATCTCAACCCATCCAACCCATCTCAACCCATCCCAACCCAACCCATTCAACCCATCCCAACCCGTCCAACCCAACCCAACCCATCCAACCCAACCTATATATACCCCACACATCCAACCCAACTCAACCTGGATCAACCCAACTCAACCCAAAGCAACCCATCCAACCCAACCCAACCTATACATACCCAACCCATCCCAACCCATCCAACCCAACCCATCCCAACCCAACCCATTCAACCCATCCCAACCCGTCCAACCCAACCCAACCCATCCAACCCAACCTATATATACCCCACACATCCAACCCAACTCAACCTGGATCAACCCAACTCAACCCAAAGCAACCCATCCAACCCAACCCAACCTATACATACCCAACCCATCCCAACCCATCCAACCCAACCCATCCCAACCCATCCAACCCAACCAGATCAACCCATCCAACCAAACCCATCCAACCCAACCCAACCTAGATCAACCCATGCAACCCAACCCATCCCAACCCATCCAACCCAACCCATCCAAGCCAACTCAACCCATCCAACCCAACCCATTCAACCCAACCCAACCTAGATCAACCCAACCAACCCAACCCAACTTAGATCAACCCATCGAACCCATCCAACCCAGCCCAACCTAGATCAACCAACCCAACCCAACCTAGATCAACCCATCGAACCCATCCAACCCATCCAACCCAACCCAACCTAGATCAACCAACCCAACCCAACCTAGATCAACCCATCCAACCCAACCCAACCTAGATCAACCCATCCAACCCAGCCCAACCTAGATCAACCCATCCAACCCAACCCATCCAACCCAAACCAACCTAGATCAACCCATCCAACCCATCCAACCCAACCTATCCAACCCAACTCAACCTAGATCAACCCATCCAACCCAACCCATCCAACGCAACCCATCCAACCCAACCCAACTCAACCTAGAGCAACCCATCCAACCCAACCCATCCAACCCATCCAACCCAACCTATCCAACCCAACTCAACCTAGATCAACTGATCGAACCCATCCAACCCATCCAACCCAACCCATCCAACCCAGCCCAACCTAGATCAACCCATCCAACCCAACCCATCCAACGCAACCCATCCAACCCAACCCAACTCAACCTAGATCAACCCATCCAACCCAACCCATCCAACCCATCCAACCCAACCTATCCAACCCAACTCAACCTAGATCAACCCATCGAACCCATCCAACGCAACCCATCCAACCCAACCCAACTCAACCTAGAGCAACCCATCCAACCCAACCCATCCAACCCAACCTATCCAACCCAACTCAACCTAGATCAACCCATCCAACCCATCCAACCCAACCCATCCAACCCAACTCAACCTAGATCAACCCATCCAACCCAACCCAACTCAACCTAGATCAACCCATCCAACCCAACCCATCCAACGCAACCCATCCAACCCAACCCAACTCAACCTAGAGCAACCCATCCAACCCAACCCATCCAACCCAACCCAACCTAGACCCACCACATCCCCCCCCCCCAACCCCGTTCCACCGCAGAACTCGCGGTACCAGACCTACCAGCGCATGTGGAACTACATGCAGTCCAAGCAGCCCAGCGTCTTCGTCAAGAGCACGGAGGAAGGGATCGCCCGCGTCCTCAACTCCAAGTACGCCTTCCTCTTGGAGTCCACCATGAACGAGTACCACCGGCGCCACAACTGCAACCTGACCCAGATCGGGGGGCTGCTGGACACCAAGGGCTATGGCATCGGCATGCCATTGGGTATGGGGGGGGACACACGGCCAACAGAAGACCCACGCACCAGTGTTGGGGTGAGGTCTCCATCTTCAACACGGGAGACCCATCGCCCCCCCCATGGGCGCTCTTCCATAGGGTCCCCGTTCCGCGATGAGATCACCTTGGCCATCCTGCAGCTGCAGGAGAACAACCGCTTGGAGATCCTCAAGAGGAAGTGGTGGGAAGGGGGGCATTGCCCCAAAGAGGAGGACCATAGAGCGAAAGGTGATTCCCCCCACACGCATTGAGGGGTTATGGGGTGGAAGGGGGGACACACAGCTCAGTGAAGCCCAGTGGTGCCCAATGGAGATCAATGGAGCCCAATGGAGCCTAATGGAACCCAATGGCGCCCCATGGAACCCAATGGAGGCCAGTGGAGCCCAATGGAGCCCAAGGGAACCCAATGGAGCCCAATAGAGCCCAATAGCACCCAATGGAGCCCAATGGCACCCAATGGAGCCCAATGGATCCCAATAGAGCCCAGTGGAGCCCAATGGAGCCCAAGGGAACCCAGTGGAGTCCAATGGATCCCAATGGCACCCAGTGGATCCCAATAGAGCCCAGTGGAGCTCAATGGAGCCCAATGAGCCCAGTGGAGCCAAGGGAACCCCATGGCTCCCAAGGGAACCCCATGGCACCCAGTGGAGCCCAATGGAGCCCAGTGGAGAAGAAGGGAACTCAATGGCTCCCAAGGGAACCCCATGGCACCCAATGGTGTCCAAGGGAACCCAGTGGCACCCAATGGAGGCCAATGGAACCCAGTGGAGACCAAGGGAACCCAGTGGAGCCCAATAGAGCCCAATGGAGGCCAAGGGAACCCAATGGAGCCCAATGGCACCCAATGGAGCCCAATGGAGCCCAAGGGAACACAATGGAACCCAATAGAGCCCAGTGAGCCCAATGGAGCCCAATGGAACCCAATGGATCCCAATAGAGCCCAGTGGTGCCCAATGGAGCCCAATGGCACCCATTGGAACCCAATAGAGCCCAGTGGAGCACAATGGCACCCAATGTTGCCCAATGGAGCCCAATGAGCCCAATGGAGCCAAGGGAACCCCATGGCACCCAATGGAGGTCAATAGAGCCCAATGGATCCCAAGGGAACCCAATGGCACCCAATGGAGGTCAATGGAACCCAATGGAGCCCAAGGAAACCCAGTGGAGCCCAATAGAGCCCAATGGAGCTTCATGGAACCCAATGGAACCCAATGGAGCCCAATGGTGCCCAATGGAGTCAAATGGAACCCAATGGAGCCCAATGGCACCCAATAGAGCCCAATGGAGCCCAATGGCACCCAATGGAGGCCAATGGAACCCAATGGAGCCCAAGGGAACCCAGTGGAGCGCAATAGAGCCCAATGGAGCCCAATGGAACCCAATGGTGCTCAATGGCACCCAATAGAGCCCAATGGAGCCCAATGGAACCCAATGGTGCCCAATAGAGCCCAATGAGCCCGATGGAGCCCAATGGAGCCCAATGGCACCCAATGGCACCCAATGGTGCCCAATGGTACCCAATAGAGCCCAATGGCACCCAATGGAACCCAATGGTGCCCAATGGAGCCCAATGGCACCCAATGGTGCCCAATGGAGCCCAATGAATGCGTGGGGTCTTCTCCTCCTCCAGGGCTGGGCATGGAGAACATTGGGGGCATCTTCGTGGTGCTGGTTTGTGGCCTCATCGTCGCCGTCTTCGTGGCTGTGGTGGAGTTCGTGTGGTCAACGCGGCGCTCAGCCGAGAGCGAGGAGGTGATGGGGGCAATGGGGGCAATGGGGGCAATGGGGGTAATAGGGGCAATGGGGACAATGGGGGCAATGGGGTTAATGGGGCAATGAGGGCAATGTGGTGATGGGGGCAATGGGGACAATGGGAGTAATGGGGTCAATGGGGGTCAATGGGGTCAATGGGGTAATGGGGGCAATGGGGTTAATGGGGGCAGTGGGGGGCAATGGGGGTAATGGGGTCAATGGGGGGCAATGGGGGCAATGGGGTAATGGGAGCAATGGTTGCAATGGGAGGCAATGGGGGCAACGGGGGGCAATGGGGGTAATGAGGGACACGGGAGTTCCCATAGGGGATTGTGGGATATGGGGGGGTCCCATAGAGGACAGCGTGTCCCCTATGCAGTGGGGGGATCTATAGGGGATAGGGAGATCCATTAGGGTCCAGGGGATCCCATGGGGCATGGGGGGGTTCTGTATGGGATAGGGGAGGGCTCCATAGGGGCTGTGGGGGGGGCTCCATAGGGGATGTGGGGGGCTCCATAGGGGCTGTGGGGGGGGCTCCATAGGGGATGTGGGGGGCTCCATAGGGGCTGTGGGGGGCTCCATAGGGGACGTGAGGCCCCATAGGACTGGGAGGGGGGGGGTCCTATAGGAGATGTGGGGTCCCATAGATCCCATAGGAGATGCGAGCTGAATGGGTCCCATCGAGCGGTACCCAAGGGGCTCTGATGGGCCGGGAGCTCCCCATAGGCTCTGTGTGTACCCGAATCTCCCCATAGAGCCCCGGCTGCCCCATAGAGCCCTATAGGCGCCCTATAGGGCCCCACTTCAGCCCTATGTCGCCCACCCCACAGCTCTCCCTATGCAACGAGATGCTCCGCGAGCTGCGTCGCGCCGTCTCGTGCCGCAAGCCCTCCCGTGCGCGCCGTCGAAGGAGGCCTCCTTTGGGGGGTCGGGGGGGTCCGGGGGGGGGGGTCCCCCAAATTGGGGGGGGTCCCCCTTCAACCCACAGCGGGGGAGGGGCTACGATGGGGTCCGCTCCTCATGGGGGCCCCCCCCACCCCACACACCCCCTAAGGGAGATGCGCTTTAGCAATGGGAAGCTCTATTCGGGTTCGGGGGGGCCCCCCATTGGGGAAGGGGGGGGGTCCGGGGGGGGGTCCGGGGGGGGGGGGGGGCCCCCCTCCGTGTACCCACATCCGGGTGTGCCCCGAGTGCCGCCGCATCCAAGCGCTGCGAGGGGGGGGCCCCCAAAGGATGGCTATGGGGGGGGACAAAGGGGGGGGCCCCCCCCAACGCAAAACAACCCCCCCAGCCCCACACAATGAGGGGACCCCCCCCCATAAACCCCTTCCTTGTACGCCGTGCGTATGATAGGATATGGGGGACCCCCCCCTTATAATAAAGCCCCCCCCCCCCATTTTAAGCCCTTTCCCCCCCCCCATTACTGCGCTGTGCCTTCCCGGGGGGGGGGAGGGGTGATGCCCCTCCCCCCCCATTTTGCCCCACCCCCACCCTCACCCCAACCCCCCCCCCCCCCAAAGCCGTGCCTGGAAGGATTTAGGGGGACCCCCCCCCATCCCCCTCCAATTCACCCCTATAATGGGGGGGGGACCCCTATAAATGGGGGGGGGCACCCTTATAATGGGGGGGACACCCCTATAATGGGGGAGATGGGGGGGGGGGGGGAGGGCCAGGCCCAAGGGGTGGATTTTAAAGGGGGGGGGGGGGAGGGGAGGGGGTTGAGGGGGGGATGGGATGGGGGGGGTGTTGGTTATAATTAATTATTAATTATTATTATTAATTTGCGGAGGGGGGGTGATTTTATTTCCCGGTGACGTCATCGACCCCCCCCCACCCCCCACCCCCCCCCCAAAATAAAACCCACCCGGACTTTTATATGGGTTGAGCATCCTCTTGATACCCCCCCACCCCCCCCCAATGGATGTGGTACCGCCGCTCCGCCAGGGGGCGCTAAGGCGAAAGAAGCGCGGGCGATATGCAAATGAGGAATGCGGAGAAACAGGCCCCACCCCCCAGCCCCCCATTCAAGGTCAAACAGCCCCACCCCCAACCCCCACCCCCCCCCCCCATCCATTGTGGTGTGGTCCAGGCCCCATCGATGGTTGCCATGGCAACCAGACGTGACGTCACGGGCGGGGGGGGGGGGGGGACACCGGCGGCATTGGGATGCTCGGGAGGGGGGATTCCCCCCCCCATAGGGACCCCCAAGCACAGACCCCCCCCCCCCCCATAGGGATCCCCCCCATAGGGGCCACCCCATAGGGACCCCCAAGAACAGACACCCCCCCCCATAGGGACTCCCCAACCAACCTCCATAGGGACCCCCCCAAATAACCTCCCCCCATAGGGACCCCCCAAACCGAACCCCCATAGGGACCCCCCCAAACCGAACCCCCATAGGGTCCCCCCCAAACCGAACCCCCATAGGGACCCCCCCAAACCGACCCTCCCATAGGGTCTCCCCCAACCAACCTCCATAGGGACCCCCCCAAATAACCCCCCCATAGGGTCCCCCCCAAATAACCTCCCCCCATAGGGACCCCCCAAACCGAACCCCCATAGGGAACCCCCCAAATAACCCCCCCATAGGGCCCCCCCCAAACCGACCCTCCCATAGGGACCCCCCCAAATAACCTCCCCCCATAGGGACCCCCCAACCAACCTCCATAGGGACCCCCCCAAATAGCACCCCCCATAGGGACCCCCCCAAACCGAACCCCCATAGGGACCCCCCCAAATAGCCCCCCCATAGGGTCCCCCCCAAACCGAACCCCCATAGGGACCCCCCCAAATAACCCCCCCCATAGGGACCCCCCCCAAATAACCTCCCCCCATAGGGACCCCCCAACCAACCTCCATAGGGACCCCCCCAAATAGCACCCCCCATAGGGACCCCCCCAAACCGAACCCCCATAGGGACCCCCCCAAATAGCCCCCCCATAGGGTCCCCCCCAAACCGAACCCCCATAGGGACCGCCCCAAACCGACCCTCCCATAGGGTCCCCCCCAACCAACCTCCATAGGGACCCCCCCAAATAGCCCCCCCATAGGGACCCCCCCAAACCGAACCCCCATAGGGCCCCCCCCAAAACCAACCTCCATAGGGACCCCCCCAAATAGCCCCCCCATAGGGACCCCCCCAAATAGCCCCCCCCATAGGGACCCCCCCAAATCTCATGGGGGTGTGTGTGGGGGGGATGTCTCTCATTTAAGGGGGGGTCCCCATTATGGGGGGTCCCTAATTTAGGGGGGACCCCCCCTAATTTGGGGGTCCTGGTCAAGGTCACCTCAAGGACACATTGGGGGGGGGGTCCCCATAAGAAGTGGGGGGGGGGGGGGGCATCAAATCCCCCCCCCCCCCCCCCCCCAATCCCTATCCGCATCCCGGCTCCCCGTTGCTAAGGGGCCCCCGTTGCCATGGCGACGCCGTTGCCAGGCAGCAGCGTTGCCTTGGCAATGGGAGCGGGGATGCTGCGGCTTTGGGGGGGGGGGGGGGGCACAAAGCTCATTAGAAACAGCGCTAATTAATTAAGGGGGGGGTTATGGGGGGGGGGGCCTTAAAGGGGCGGGGCTTGGGTTGCATTGGGGGGGGGAGGGGGTCTATAGGTATTTGGGGGGGGGGAGGGGATGGGGCCGCATTGCGGGGGGGGGGGGGAATGGGGGGGTGCGTTAAGAAGGGGGGGTTAATGGGGGGTGCATTGCAGTGGGGGGGGTAATAAATGGGGGTGCCCTATAGGGGTGTTAATGGGGGGGTTAAATTGGGGGTGCCCTATAGGAGAAGTCCATAGGGGGGCAAATTGGGGGTGCCCTATAGGGGTGTTAATGGGGGGGGTAAATTGGGGGTGCCCTATAGGAGAAGTCCATAGGGGGGCAAATTGGGGGTGCCCTATAGGGGTGTTAATGGGGGGGTTTAATTGGGGGTACCCTATAGGAGAAGTCCATAGGGGGGCAAATTGGGGGTGCCCTATAGGGGTGGTAATGGGGGGGTTTAATTGGGGGTACCCTATAGGAGAAGTCCATAGGGGGGCAAATTGGGGGTGCCCTATAGGGGTGTTAATGGGGGGGTTAAATTGGGGGTACCCTATAGGAGAAGTCCATAGGGGGGCAAATTGGGGGTGCCCTATAGGGGTGTTAATGGGGGGGGTTAAATTGGGGGTGCCCTATAGGGGTGTTAATGGGGGGGTTAAATTGGGGGTACCCTATAGGGGTGAAAATGGGGGGGCAAATTGGGGGTACCCTATAGGAGAAGTCCATGGGGGGGGCAAATTGGGGGTGCCCTATAGGGGTGTTAATGGGGGGGTTAAATTGGGGGTACCCCATAGAAGGGTGCCCTATAGACAGGTATCCTATAGGTACCCCATAGGGGGGTGTTGAATAGGGGTTGCCCTATGGGGGGGTTAAAACTGGGGTACCCTATAGGGGTGTCAATGGGGGGGGTGCAAAACTGGGGGTGCCCATGGTTGGGGGGGGGGCATTGCAGTGGGGTTATGGGGGGGGCGCTGCATTGCAGTGGGGGGGGGGGTCCTTTAATGGGGGGATCCCATGGGGGGGTCTATGGGGGGGTCTATGGAGTGTCTATGGGGGGGTCTATGGAGTGTCTATGGGGGGGTCTATGGGGGTGTCTATGGGGGTGTCTATGGGGTGTCCATGGCGGGGTCTATGGGGGGGGTCTATGGGGGGCTCTATTGGGGTCTATGGGGGGTCTATGGGGGGTCTATTGGGGTCTATGGGGGTGTCTATGGGGGGTCTATGGGGTGTCTATGGGGGGGTCCATAGGGGCATCTATGGGGGTGTCTTTTGAGGTCTATGGGGGTCTATGGGGGGTCTATGGGTGTCTATGGGGGGGTCTATTGGGGTCTGTGGGGGGTCTATGGGGTGTCTATGGGGGTGTCTATGGAGCGGTCTATGGGGTGTCTATGGGGCGGTCTATAGGGGTGTCTATGGGGTGTCTATGGGGCGGTCTATGGGGTGTCTATGGGGGTCTATGTGGGTCTGTGGGGCGGTCTATGGGGGTGTCTATGGGGCAGTCTATAGGGGTGTCTATGGGGTGTCTATGGGGTGTCTATGTGGGTCTATGTGGGTCTATTGGGGGGGGGGGGGTTCTCACTGCAGGTCCCCCTCGTGTCCCCCTCCCCCCCCCTTGATCCGCAGTAAAAGAGGCGTGGCCAAAACCCACCAACGGGGGGGGGGGGGGGGGTCCCTTCCTCGCTCTCTGATTGGCCGCTCCTTCCCCCCCCCCCCCCCCCCCAAAAAACCCACACGAGGCCGCCCCGCTCCCCCCTCCCCATTCCCGGCTCCGCAGCCGCGGGGGCCGCTTCGTTCCCTGCGTTCCGAACGGAGCCGAACGGAGCCGAACGGACCCGAACACCCCCCTCCCCCCTTCCCCACCCCCAACCCCGCCCCCCCACAAGCAGAGCCTCGTCCGGCTGCAGCCATGGGGGTACGTGGGGGGGGGGGGGGATAATGGGGTGTATGGGGTGATAATGGGGTCTATGGGGTGATAAAGGGGTCTATGGGGGGGATAATGGGGTCTATGGGGGGATAATGGGGTCTATGGGGGGATAATGGGGTGTCTGGGGGGATAATGGGGTGTATGGGGGGGATAATGGGGTGTATGGGGGGATAATGGGGTGTATGGGGGGATAATGGGGTCTATGGGGGGGATAATGGGGTGTATGGGGGGGATAATGGGGTGTATGGGGGTGATAATGGGGTGTATGGGGGGGATAATGGGGTGTATGGGGGGATAATGGGGTGTATGGGGGGATAATGGGGTGTATAGGGGGTGATAATGGGGTGTATAGGGGGTGATAAAGGGGTCTATGGGGGGATAATGGGGTGTATAGGGGATGTGGGGTGATAATGGGGAGTATAGGGGGTGATAATGGGGTGTATGGGGGGGTGATAATGGGGAGTATAGGGGGTGATAATGGGGTGTATAGGGGGTGATAATGGGCTCTATGGGGGGGATAATGGGCTCTATGGGGGGATAATGGGGTGTATAGGGGATGTGGGGTGATAATGGGGAGTATAGGGGGTGATAATGGGGTGTATAGGGGACAGGCAAGCTGATAACGGGGTCAATAGGGGACGGGCAAGGAGATATGGGGGGGTGCGAGGTGATAACGGGGTCTATAGGGGATGGGGAGGGTGATAACGGGGTCTATAGGGGATGGGGAGGGTGATAACGGGGTCTATAGGGGACAGGCAAGGCGCTATAGGGGACGTGCGAGGTGCTATGAAGGACGTGCAAGGTGATAACGGGGTCTATAGGGGACGTGCAATGTGCTATGGGGGGTGCAAAGGTGATAACGGGGGGGTGCAGTGCCCTATAGGGCACGTGCAATGCGCTATGGGGGGGTGCAAGGCTCTATAGGGGATGTGCAAGGCTCTATAGGGGACGTGCAAGGCTCTATAGGGCACATGCAATGCGCTATGGGGGGGTGCAAGGCTCTATAGGGGACGTGCAATGCGCTATAGGGGACGTGCAAGGCTCTATAGGGCACATGCAATGCGCTATGGGGGGGTGCAAGGCTCTATAGGGGACGTGCAATGCGCTATAGGGGATGTGCAAGGCTCTATAGGGGACGTGCAATGCGCTATAGGGGATGTGCAAGGCTCTATAGGGGACGTGCAATGCGCTATGGGGGGGTGCAAGGCTCTATAGGGGACGTGCAAGGCTCTATAGGGCACATGCAATGCGCTATAGGGGATGTGCAAGGCTCTATAGGGGACGTGCAATGCGCTATAGGGGATGTGCAAGGCTCTATAGGGGACGTGCAATGCGCTATGGGGGGGTGCAAGGCTCTATAGGGGACGTGCAAGGCTCTATAGGGCACATGCAATGCACTATGGGGGGGTGCAAGGCTCTATAGGGGACGTGCAATGCGCTATGGGGGGGTGCAAGGCTCTATAGGGGACGTGCAAGGCTCTATAGGGCACATGCAATGCGCTATGGGGGGGTGCAAGGCTCTATAGGGGACGTGCAATGCGCTATAGGGACGTGCAAGGCTCTATAGGGCACATGCAATGCGCTATGGGGGGGTGCAAGGCTCTATAGGGGACGTGCAATGCGCTATAGGGACGTGCAAGGCTCTATAGGGGACATGCAAGGCTCTATAGGGCACATGCAATGCGCTATGGGGGGGTGCAAGGCTCTATAGGGGACGTGCAATGCGCTATAGGGGGGTGCAAGGCTCTATAGGGCACATGCGATGCGCTATAGGGGCAGTGCAAGGCTCTATAGGGGATGTGCAATGCGCTATGGGGGGGTGCAAGGCTCTATAGGGGGGATACAAGGCTCTATAGGGCACATGCAATGAGCTATAGGGGGAGTGCAGGGCTCTATAGGGGGGATGCAAGGCTCTATAGGGACATGCAATGCGCTATAGGGGGAGTGCAGGGCTCTATAGGGGGGATGCAAGGCTCTATAGGGACATGCAATGAGCTATAGGGGGATGCAAGGCTCTATAGGGCACATGCGGTGCACTATGGGGGGGATGCAAGGCTCTATAGGGGACGTGCAATGCGCTATAGGGGGGATGCAAGGCTCTATAGGGCACATGCAATGAGCTATAGGGGGGATGCAAGGCTCTATAGGGCACATGCAATGAGCTATAGGGGGGTGCAAGGCTCTATAGGGTACGTGCAATGAGCTATAGGGGGATGCAAGGCTCTATAGGGCACATGCAATGAGCTATAGGGGGATGCAAGGCTCTATAGGGGACGTGCAATGCGCTATAGGGGGGATGCAAGGCTCTATAGGGCACATGCAATGAGCTATAGGGGGGTGCAAGGCTCTATAGGGTACGTGCAATGAGCTATAGGGGGATGCAAGGCTCTATAGGGCACATGCAATGAGCTATAGGGGGATGCAAGGCTCTATAGGGCACATGCAATGAGCTATAGGGGGATGCAAGGCTCTATAGGGCACATGCAATGAGCTATAGGGGGGATGCAAGGCTCTATAGGGCACATGCAATGAGCTATAGGGGGGATGCAAGGCTCTATAGGGCACATGCAATGAGCTATAGGGGGGATGCAAGGCTCTATAGGGCACATGCAATGAGCTATAGGGGGATGCAAGGCTCTATAGGGCACATGCAATGAGCTATAGGGGGAGTGCAGGGCTCTATAGGGGGGATGCAAGGCTCTATAGGGCACATGCAATGAGCTATAGGGGGATGCAAGGCTCTATAGGGCACATGCAATGAGCTATAGGGGGATGCAAGGCTCTATAGGGCACATGCAATGAGCTATAGGGGGGTGCAAGGCTCTATAGGGCACATGCAATGAGCTATAGGGGGGTGCAAGGCTCTATAGGGCCGTTGAAAGCCGCTATGGGGGGGGTGTAAGGTTCTATAGGGGACGGGCACGGTGATAACGGGGTCTATAGGAGGCGTGCAAGGAGCTGATGCGTGTGCAAGGGGCGTGCAAGGAGCTATAGGGGACGTGCAGTGCGCTATGGGGGGGTGCAGTGCTCTATAGGGGACGTGCAATGAGCTATAGGGGGGTGCAATGCCCTATAGGGGACGTGCAGTACGCTATGGGGGGGTGCAATGCCCTATAGGGGACGTGCAGTGCGCTATAGGGGGGTGCAATGCCCTATAGGGGACGTGCAGTGCGCTATGGGGGGGTGCAGTGCCCTATAGGGGACGTGCAATGTGCTATAGGGGGGTGCAGTGCCCTATAGGGGACGTGCAGTGCGCTATAGGGGGGTGCAATGCCCTATAGGGGACGTGCAGTGCGCTATGGAGGGGTGCAGTGCCCTATAGGGGACGTGCAATGCGCTATGGGGGGGTGCAATGCCCTATAGGGGACGTGCAGTGCGCTATGGGGGGGTGCAATGCCCTATAGGGGACGTGCAGTACGCTATGGGGGGGTGCAATGCCCTATAGGGGACGTGCAGTGCGCTATGGGGGGGTGCAATGCCCTATAGGGGATGTGCAGTGCGCTATAGGGGGGTGCAGTGCCCTATAGGGGACGTGCAGTGCGCTATAGGGGGGTGCAATGCCCTATAGGGGATGTGCAATGTGCTATAGGGGATGTGCAATGTGCTATAGGGGACGTGCAGTGCGCTATGGGGGGGTGCAGTGCCCTATAGGGGGGTGCAAGGGTCTATAGGGGACGTGCAATGCGCTATGGGGGGGTGCAGTGCCCTATAGGGGACGTGCAATGCGCTATAGGGGGGTGCAGTGCCCTATAGGGGATGTGCAATACGCTATGGGGGGGTGCAATGCGCTATAGGGGGGTGTAAGGGTCTATAGGGGGTGTGCAAAGCACTATGGGTGGGTGTAAGGTTCTATAGGGCACATGCAATGCGCTATGGGGGGGATGCTGCAAGGCTCTATGGGGCACATGCAATGCGCTATGGGGGGGGTGCAGGGCTCTATGGGGCACATGCAATGCGCTATAGGGGGGTGAAAGGCTCTATGGGGCACATGCAATGCGCTATAGGGGGGTGAAAGGCTCTTTGGGGCACAGGCAATGAGCTATAGGGGAGGGATGCAATGCCCTATGGGGTGGTGCAAGGCTCTATGGGGCACATACAATGCCCTATGGGGGGGTGCAGGGCTCTATGGGGCACATGCAATGCGCTATGGGGTGGGATGCAAGGCTCTATAGGGCACATACAATGCCCTATGGGGGGGGTGCAGGGCTCTATGGGGCACATGCAATGCGCTATGGGGTGGGATGCAAGGCTCTATGGGGCACAGGCAATGTGCTATAGGGGGGTGAAAGGCTCTATGGGGCACATGCAATGCGCTATAGGGGGGTGAAAGGCTCTATGGGGCACATGCAATGCGCTATAGGGGGGTGCAAGGCTCTATGGGGCACAGGCAATGCGCTATAGGGCACATGTAATGCCCTATGGGGGGGGTGCAGGGCTCTATGGGGCACAGGCAATGCGCTATAGGGCACATGTAATGCCCTATAGGGGGGGTGCAGGGCTCTATGGGGCACAGGCAATGCGCTATAGGGGGGTGAAAGGGGGGTGTACCACGTATGTACCACGTCTGTGCCCCCTATGTCACGTGGGTCGCGTATGTGCCATGCATGTCACGTGTCCATCCCCCCCCCCCCCCGCAATCCCCTCCCCCCCCCGTAACCTTCCTCTCTCCTTCCCCTCCCCCTCCCCCCCCCCCCGTTAATTAATTAATGAAGGGGGAGGGGGAGGGGAATGAGAGGGGGGAGGGGACCCCTCCCCCCCCATAGAAATGGGGGCACCCGAAATAGGGGGACCCCCCCCATGTGGGGGTCGCCCCATAGCGATGTATAGAGACCCCCCCCCATAGTGATGTATGGGGACCCCCCATTTTGGGGTCACCCCATAGCGATGTATAGGGCACCCCCATAGTGACGTATAGAGACCCCCCCATTTTGGGGTCTCCCCATAGTGATGTATAGGGCCACCCCATAGTGATGTATAGGGACCCCCCC